CCCGCCCCGCCCACCCAACTTCATGCTTTCCAAAACATATTGCTTTTCTCTGAGACTGCTTTAGCATTTTTGTTTTTTGTTTTAAGAAAATCTGTAATACAATATTTTTGCTCCAGTAATATTGTACTTGAAGTGTAGAACCAACTATCAATTTACCTTCTCTGGCCCTATTTATAAGTTTCATTGTTTTTGTTTGCTAGGGTTAAAGCACATTTACAAAATGTAAGTGCGATTGTCAGCCTTAGAGAATTTAAGATAATAGTTATTTTCTTTATCTTATTTTTTTGTTTGTGTCATAGGAGTTACTCATTGGATTTCGCAGTTCTTTTAATTCTGAAAGACTTCAAATCTTCTAGAAGCCAAAATGGGTCACGGTAAACAGATTAGAATTTTACTTCTGAACGAAATGGAAAAGCTTGAAAAGACCCTCTTTAGACTTGAACAAGGTCAGTAGCCAGTTGTTTGATTAGCTGTCTTTAAAATTTTTTAATTCATTGTCATACTTGGTTTGTGCAGACTATTGTGTTCTAAAAATATCACTAATGAAAATTGATTTTATTTGAAAGTATTTTATATCAGGTTAGAATGGAGATAAAATAGTCCACTTTTCTTTGCATGTTAAATTCCACTTAAGTTGCATATATGATCGAAAGATTGACCATATTATTTCTATTAGCATTTATTATGAAAACTTGGTAAATTACTTCATATGTAATTTTAGGCATATCTATAGTTATACTTATTTATAGCCCTTACTCTTTTCCTTTACTGGAATTTTGAATTAGTAAATTAGAGCACAACAAAAAGTAAACTATTTATGTTTATCAAAAACCTCTCAAATGTGGAGATGATAAACCAAAATTTTTTTTTGCCAAATAAAAAGTGAATTAACTGATCAGATATGTTGAAATATATTTGAGCTGTGGTTCAAAGATCAAATTCTATTTTTATAAGACAAATAGATGCAGTTTTCTCTTAGACTTTTTAATTTTCCAACATCAAAAAATATTTCACATTCATGTTAATATGATTCATGAAGGAGAAGTTTTATGTATGAAATATAAAATGCCATCCCTTTTATTAGTATACTAAGTGGAGGTTGGTAGTAGTAAACATTTTGAAGGAAACTCTTACCCCTGCCCCAACCCCGATATCTCTAATTAAATCTTTGAAAAAATTTCAGCCATCAAATGTGTTACCTCCGTGGCAAATCTTCATCTGCTTCCAGCTTTAGCATTTAAGATCACTGAGTACTTACTCCATTTTTGGCTTTCCTAACTCCGCATTTTTCTGGTTTTGATTTTTGTCCTATGCTCTTGACTATTCCTCTCAACTTGGTGGTGTCTCTTGCTGTGCTCTCTTCCTTCCACATTTCAATAAATTGTGAGTGTCTGCTAGGAATCCTTTTTTATTTTTATGTTCTGCCCTCAAAGAATTATACATTCTTAGGGCTTCAGCTGTTGCCTCCATACTGATGATTTTTGTTGGGGAGAAGGGCCTTTAGCTCTGCTGGCTTCTTGGAAGCTGGCACTTCTATTGTTAAGAATAGGGAATTAGAATTTTCCTGGCTCTACTGCTAACAAATTGTTTGACTTTGGGCAAGTCGCATTAATTCTAAACATTAGTTTCTTTATTTGTGAAATGTAGGTATTTCCGCTCTTCTACCTGACTGGGCTTTGAGGCTCAAAATTAATATATGGCTGTTAATCCCTAAATAGATAGAAGGCATTGATAGATCACTATACCTATCTATCCTTGCCCTGAATTCTTGGCTTCATCCCATTATTATGCTATAGAATAGCCTTTTGGATATGCTTGAATCTAGCATGTCCACAACCATCTACTCCCCATTCTCAAACCTTTATTTCATAGCTTCCCTGTTTACTCTAGCAATGTCTCCATTTTCATGGTTTCCAAGGCTAAAAGCTTTGTACTCTTCTTTAATGATTTCTCCTCTTAACTGCAATCTCACGTTAAGCCCTAAAATTTCTTTCCAAAAATCTCTGCTTGTCTCCTTGTTCCTTCCATATGCCTGAATATGGATGCTAGAATAATCTTCTATGCCATCTCATCCCTTTTTATAAAGTCCAATTTAAACAGCTCTGCCTGTCTTCCACTCTGTAATGGAATCTACCTTCCCTAGCCAAGATTATATCTTTTTCTTTATTTTAATTTTTAAAAATTGTCAATTACAGTTGACATTCAATATTATATCAGTTTCAGGTATAAGCACAGTGGTTAGACATTTATATAACTTAAAAAATGATCCCCCAAATAGATCTGGTACCTACCTGGCACCATGTATAATCATTACAATATTATTGACTGTATTTCCTATGTACTTTACATCCCCATGATTATTTTGTAACAACATTTTATCTCATGGTTATTAGTGTCCTTATTAGTGTCCTTCATCTTTACAGTTAGTTCCCTGTCAGTTCCCTCCCCAGGGGCTTTTCTCATGCTCGTCCTTACACCTTCACTCCTGTCTGTCATATTCCATATTCCTCTATCTGTGTCAGATCCTTTTACTATCAGATCCTTTTACTGTGTGTTGCCTGCCTCTAAACTTGCAGCTAATATTCCACCTCCCCCATGAAGTCTTTCCTTAATTTCTTTGTTATCTGCTTCCTTTAATTTCCAATTACACAGTGGGCATAGAACAATTAAGTGCCGAACGATTTAGCAGTGTCTAAAAGCTTGTTAGTCTTACAGTGTCCAACTAGAGTTTAAGATCTAAGGATAGAGATAGTATTACAAACTTAGTGCACTGTACAACAGTTAATAAATCTTTGCTGATTGATTACTAAAATGACAGCTAAAGCTAGAAAAAAATTATAAATTCAGTGAAGCTATTTGAAGAGGGAACTATGAAGGGCTTATAAAATAAGAATGATGCTGTTTGTAACTCCAGTTATAAACCAGTAAATTCATCCAAATGATATAACTGGAAATATATCTTTTTTTTTGTACAGTAATGTGTTAATATTATTTTAGAAGGTAATTGTAATGTGAAAGATGAAGAGAAGGGACACTAGAAACAAGATATCGCTGAAAAGAGTATTTTAAAAACATGCCCGGTTAAAGAGAAGGGTTTAACTGCATCAGAGTTGAAAAAGAAGAGACAGAGTATGAGACATTTTAAAATTCACATCAGTTAGGTGTGAAAAAAAACTCCTGGCAATTTTTGGTTCTTTCATATTTAATTGGTCACCAAGCCCTTCTTCATTTTGCTTTCCTTTTCACTTTTCTCTAAGAAAGGATTCCTTCTCATTTTTAAGGCTAATATCTCTTTTAATTCAACAAGTACAAGACCAAATAATTATCTTTTCTAGCCAAATCATAGCCTTTCCCTGTATTTCCTATCTTATTTAGTGGCAGAATAATGAATAAAATCAGTATTCCCCACACCTGGAATTCTTCCATCTTTAAATTAGTTGGTCAAATTTCAGTTTTTACTTTTTTTTAAGAAAATATTTATAAAGATTTCTTGATTAGGAGCTCGAGTCTATGTAAATTGAGTGGCGGGAACAAGAAAGAAAGACAGTTTACAAAAATAGTTTAATCAGTCATCTTGCTAGTTGCCTACAGGAGGGATGCGGCTACTCCGAGTAAAGTATCCCAAGTGTTAGTATGAGGAATAGGATAGCCACACCATGTACTGCTGTAACCTAAACTAATTTTAGCACACTGTGTAATTAATCATGGAATCTGACATCCTCTAGGTATTCTCATGTTTCACTTGCTATATATAAGAATTTTAGTTTCAGGGATTTGAATTAGAGGTCTACAGAGTGGCTATGTACCCTTGAGAGTATGCACTGATCTATTGGGGTATAGAAAGAAATTAGGATTTATCTTTTCTTCTCCTCTCCTTCCCTCCCTTCCTCTCCCTATCTATATTTGTTTAAAAAAAATAATTAAATTTGCCAATACATAAATTGACATTGATACTGACGGTTTTGTATGTCAGATGAGTTATAAACAAAAAATAGAGTGGACGTTGTAAGGATTAAAAGATGGGATTAAAGGTCACACCATCACTAGTTTGCTTGCAATATGTTGCTATGAATTACACTTTTACCTAAGCAAGGTTGAATAAAGATACAACATATTATCTTAAATAGTAACTATACAAAACTTTGTATTATAAAGGCTATGTATTGTATAATTTATGGTAGAGTAACCATAAATAAATGCTTCTTTTACCTCAAGGTTGTCAAACTAAAAGATGAGTTAGAAAGTGTTTGAAATTGCTGTTTGAGATTTGTCCTTTTCAGAAATGACACGTAGTTTTCAATAGCATGATACTTAGAAAATATTTTCAGAAAAACTAAATACAATTTAACTCACAAGTAAACACAAGTGAGAAAGTTAACTGCTTTTTGATGGAAATTGATGCTAGAGAGAAGAGTTTAGCACATTTTTTTCTCATAAAGGTTTACATAGCAAATATTTTCAGCTTTGCAGGCCATGTACTTTCTGTTGCAGCTACTGTACCATGAAAGCAGCCTAGACAACATGTACATAAGTGACTGGATGTGGCTGTGTTCCAGTAATACTTTCCAGAAACAGGTAGTAGGCTGGATATAGTTTGCTGACGCTTGCTGTAGGAAGAGCATTTTGAATATTTATTTTTAGTAACACTTCCATCATATGATTTTACCTATATAAATGAATATCTGCCCACTTTTAAAAGTTGATGACAAAAATTTTTAATCTTTTTAAAATCTTCCAGATAAAGGGTTTCAGTTGGTTTTCATCTGTTTACTATATAAATATCAAACATCTCATAATTAGCATATAAAAACAATTGATGTATGTCAGAGATTTACTAGCACATTTCAACAAAAGTATTTACATAATTGGTGAATGGGATTGAAAAATTAATGTCATGGATTAGTAAACATAGCCAACAGGAACTTCTTCCATTTGGATTTGAGTATCTCCCTGTGGTATTTTTTTAAATCTGAGGCCATTAAACCACAGATCAAAAGAAACAGAACTTGGAGTCTAAATTATTTTATCACAAGTTGTTTAAAATTAATGAAATTTATTTAATCTCATTGCTTTCACTGACATATATCAATATCAGTATTTTTTGTGAAAGCTGAAAGATATTTCCATGCATTAATACATAAAATTAGTTATTTAAATTATTTATTTTATTTATATCTTACCCTTATTTTTGTGTTTTATAATTTACATAATCTATTAAATATCATACATGTATATTATATAAATAAATATTCCTATTTGGAGAATGCTTGTCATTTTTTTCTGAAGATAAACCACTAATTCAAATGCTATTTTAGAGATTTTGGATGTTTTAACCTTTGTACTATAGATTCTCTGAATCCTTGTGTAATTATAAAAACAATATTTGTATAAACGGAACAAGGACAGATTGTTTAAATAGACCAGACAGCTAATCTCTGATATTTGTACTTGTTCAAAATGACACCATTTCTTCTGTAATGAATTTAATCATTCTTACAGAGATGTAGATATTTATGATTCTCATGGTCACTAAGTAGTAAAACTTCCAGTTTTAATTCTTCAGAAAATTATTTCTCAATCTAGCTCTTCATAATTCTAGTTCTAATTTAAAAAGTGTTTCCCCAATTATAAAATTGTAGAAATGTATAAAAAGGTTTTTTTCTATGCTTTTTGCTTCAAAACAAAATTGAATTTATACTGTCTAAATAATTTTGAAAACTACTTATAGTGTTATGGTGTGTAAATGCCACCTCCCTGCTTACTGCGACGTTTCAGACATACTCTTTTCCAGAAAGGATTTCAAAAGATCTATGTAGATGCATAAAACATAACAAAACAGAATATGAAAGTAACCATGTTATTAAATATCTTTTGATAATACGATTTATAATGGCTTTATAATAGTCCAGCTCACAGAATACCATAATTTATTTACTCATTGTCAATCATTATTTACTTTATTATAATAAGTGAAGGTGTGATAAGCGTCCTTATATATAATCTATGTTTACATCACTGATTAATTCCTTAGAAAATATGTCTGTGTGAAGTTATTGGGTCAAAAAGATAAACCTTATTAGCACTCTTAATATGTATATGCCAAATTGCTTTATAGAAAAATGTGTGTATCTTACTATTTGGAAAATAAATTATTAGTGTCACTGTATAGTGTGAGAAGTAAAAGTGACTCTCAAGATTTTTGCAGAGTTACTTAATAAATCCATTTGGATTTTTTGTTTCTTGCTTGCTAAAGCCATTTACTATGAATAAATTTATAGCCATACTTTAGTCCAATCTAGTAATATTGTTAGCAGTATTTATCATTAGATTATAATTTTTTACATGAGTGCCTAGAACTTCCATATTGTACTATGCAAAAAGAGCATTCATATTTCTCTAGACAGTTATAGGTGTATTTAATTGGATTAGAGTATTTTGGGAGAGTGCAGCATTCTCTTGATGGCTTTTACTGAAATCTTTTATTCATAAAGAAAATCTTACCCAATGTTTAATATTGTGGTGTAGCATTTACCAGTTGTCAAATAGCGTTGTGAGAAATTACTTCTAAACAGCAATTTTAGACATGATTGAAACATATCTACATGTTCTCCTTTTCAAGAGGAGACCCAAGCTGATATTTTTTATGTATTAGTAAATAGTAGTTAATACTAATGTCTGTGATTCATACCCCCACAGCAAGGTTTTCTGTAGCCTCCCTGCTTGCTGGTTTGTAACATCTTCCTCTGACAGTGGAAATCTTGTCTCTCATCACCTTTGTTTTTGAAAGATATTTTCACCAGGTATAGAATTCTAGGCTGATAGTTTTAATCATTCAGTGCTTTTAAAGATGTTACTCAAAAAAAAAAAAAAAACCAAAAACTGTTGCTCCACTGTCTTCTTGCTTGCATTGTTTCTCATGGGAAATCTGTCATAATCCTTATCTTTGTTCCTCTGTACCTATGGTCTTTTTTTTTCCCTCTGCCTACTCGTAAGATATTCTCTTTGTCACTGCTTTTGAGCAATTTGACTTGGATGGTCCTTGCTGTAATTTTCTTCATATTTCTTGTTTGAGGGATTTGTTAAAGATCTGGATCTATAAATTTATTTTTTTCATCAAATTGGGGGATTTTTTTTTTTTTTTTACCCATTATGTCTTCAAATAATTTATGTACCCCTTATCTCTCCTCTCCTTTGAGGACTCTAATTACCTATCTATTAGGCCACTTGAATTGTCCCACAGGTCACTGATACTCTCAATTTTTTTAGACTTGTTTTTCTCTTTTTGTTTTATTTTGCATAGTTTTTAGTCCTACGTCTTGAAAATCGTTAATCTTTTTTTCTGCCATTTACCAGTCCAGTAATTCCATCCTATGTATTTTTCCTCTCAGACATGTAGTTTTCATCTCTAAAAGTTTGAGTTGGATCTTTTTTGTTTTTTTGTGTGTGTTTTTTATATTTCTCATGTTCTGATTTTTTTTGAACACATGGAATACAGTTGTAATAACAGATATGCTTTCTTATCTGCTAGTTCAACATCTGTGTCATTCCTGTGTCAGTTTTCATTGATTGATTATTCTCCTGGTTATGGGTTATGTTTTCCTAATTCTATATACGTATCCTAATTTGTGTTTGGATGCCAGACATTGTGAATTTTACCTCGTTGAGTGCTGGGTATTTTTGGATTTTTATAAATGTTCTTGGTCTTTGTTCTGGAATAAAATTGTTTCTTGGAAACACTTTAATCCTTTTGAGCTTTACTTTTATGATTTAAGCCAGTGTAGAACTATGCCCTGTCTAGGGTTCATTATTCCCAACTACTGAGGCAAGATCATTCTGAACTTTCTACCCAGTGCCTCATGAATTAAGAGCTTTTCCAGCCTACCTGGTGAGAACAAGCACTATTCCTGGTCTGTTATTTTTTTCAGACATGAACTGATCAGTATATTCTGCTGAATACTCAAGTGGAGACTCTCCACAGATCTCTGGAGCTCTCTGTCTCTCTGCAGCTTCCTCTGCCTCACTCACCACTCTTATCTGCAAATTCTGGCTGCGTTGGTCTCCACAGACTCTTAGCTTCATCTCTTCAGCATAGGAAGTGGTTGAGTTGTGCCTCGGTTCCTCTTCCCTATACCTCAACCTGGAAAATTTTTCAAGGTGGTAGGCAGGGGCAGTAGTAGTAGGCCTCACTGTGTTTATTTTCCATCTTTCAGGGATCACTGTCCTTTGTTGCCTAATGTCCAGGGTCTTGAAAAACATCATTTTATGTATTTTATCTGTTTTGTTGGTTTCTTTTAAATTTCAGGGAGGAGAGTAAATCCAATCCCTGTTATTCCATTTTTTTTCCAAAAGCAGGTCTCAGGTCCTTTACAACTTCTGTTTCTTCTCTGTAGACTGCCCTACCCCAGATCTCTGTTTGGTCAATTTCATCACTTCTTCTTTCTCTTTAGCAGTTTTTTATTAAATGCTGGGCATTGTGGATGTTCTGTTATATCTCTGGATTTTGTCATCTTGCTTTAAAGAAGTAATGAGTTTTATTTTAGAAACCACTTACATTATCTGTGGATCAGCTTAATCTTTTTGAGGCTGATTTTTAAGCTTTGATAAGATAGGTTTATAGCAGTTTTTACTCTAGAGCTACTTTACTACTTAAGGCGTTACTCTTTTGAACACAACAGTTGTTCAACAAGGTCTCTACTTTGGCTGCTTAAAAATTGTGGTGTCTCCTAGGCCTGAGTGAGCTCTGCGATTTGTTCAATTTATAGCTCATAGTAGTTGTTCTTGGCCCAGCTCATGGAGTTGAACCCTCCTCAAGTACAGCTTAATGCTGAGGCAGACTAAAGGTGACCCTAGGTAAACTTTCTGGAGCTCTTTCTTTGCATGATTCTCATCTCTACAATACTCTTCCCCTCTGATAACCATCATTCTGCTTTCTGTATCTATGAGTTTATTTGTTTGTTTGTTGCTTTTTGTTTTATATCTCAAGTGAAATCATGCATTCTTGTCCTTTTCTGTCTGACTTATTTCACTTAGCATGAGACTCTCAAGAGTCATGCATTGTTGCAAATGGCATTATTTCATCTTTTTATGGCTGAGCATTATTCCAATACTGAGTTAGTATTCCATTGTTATTCCCTATGTGCCACATTTTCTATATCCAAAACATCTATTTTTTAATGTGACAATTTAAGTCCTACAGTGAGTTTATTAAAATGTGCTTTTTATCCAGGGTTTGAACTACAGTTCCGATTAGGCCCAACTTTACAAGGAAAAACAGTTACTGTGCATACAAATTACCCATATCCTGGAGAAACATTTAATCGAGAAAAATTCCGTTCCCTGGAATGGGAAAATCCATCAGAAAGAGAAGATGATTCTGATAAATACTGTAAACTTAATCTCCAACAAGCGGGATCATTTCAGTATTACTTCCTTCGAGGGTAAGTAAGGTGTTCTGTATGTAAAAAAAAAAAAAAAAAAAACAACAGTTAATTCTATAGTTTGAACTTACCTAACTTGTAAAAAGTTACTGTATGAACCATGGCAGTACAATTTTTATAGGACTTTCTTGAGATGCGAATAGAATATGGTTCTTCAGTTTCCAGGCAGTGAATGTAAGGCTGTTTGCAGATACAAAGTATTATAATTTTTTTTTAAGTAACAGCTTAAATACTCTAGTCTTTTATGCAACCTGATTAGAAGATACTATTTACTTGAGTGCCTTTGAGATTTTAGCATACTTATTTTTTCCTTAAAGCAACAATTTAGATATTATATATATTGTGTTATGTTATTATGTAAAGATTGGAAAAGAATAAAATAAGGCTTTTCCACTAAGTTTTATTACACCTGTTTACATGGTTTTATGTGCTTAGAAATATTTTTTAAATGGAACAACTTACTTACAGTTAGAGATTCATACTATTAGATGAGGATTTTCCTATTATTAATTGAGAACTTTTGTTTTGTTTTGTTTTCCTTAGAAATGAGAAGAGTGGTGGGGGTTACATAGTTGTGGATCCTGTATTACGTGTTGGTACTGATAATCATGTGTTACCCTTAGACTGTGTTACTCTCCAGACATTTTTAGCTAAGTGTTTGGGACCCTTGGATGAATGGGAAAGCAGACTTAGGGTTGCAAAAGAATCAGGTAATGTCAGCTTTCTTTTCTTCTTTTAAAAAATAAATGTAATTATTGTCTGTGATACAGATTTCAAAGGCTTTGATTCTCCTTTTAATTTTGTTTTTCTATGTCTTAGCATATTTAATATAAATAGATGGAACCATTTGAAATTTCTGATACTTGAGCTTTTTTAACCTATAAAAATAACAAATTATATAGTTCAACTTAGATTAAGGAACTATGGTAAAATGAGATTATCATTGTTTCTAAGACTTTACTTCAACATGAAAATTAGTAGTAAACTATTAAAATATGTTGGAAAATGTATTATCATTATATATAATTTTAATTCAACACTGATTAACTGTCTTCCATGTGGAAGCCATGTATGGAAGGCTGCCATACATACCAAGCGCAAAATGAAACTTAAATTGTATTTTACTCTTCAGTAAAGGGTAAATTAATATTTGACATTCAAGCTGAATATAGTGTGAAGAAAGAAATGAGAAGTTCACTGACATAACTAAAACAGAATACAAGTACCGAGGAACATTAAAAGTAGGAGAAAGACATACTGATATTCTTGCCTAAGATATATTTTCTTTGTAAACTTTAACCCCTGATAGTAACTAGGCACTGTGTGATTTCTTCAAATACGTTATGTCATGATCTCTGTCTTGTACATGAGGACACTGATATCCTGAGAGATTTAAATAGACTTACTTGAAGTCAGTTGTGGTTCAGTTCGGATTTGAACCCAAGTCTTTGACTCCTTTTCTAGTAGCATAGTTGCCTTGCCGTTTAGAATTACTTAAGGACGTTATACTTTGCTTAGTGTTAGGTGGGTTTTTGTTTTTTACAGTGGTGTTTATTTTCTTGTATTGCAGGTTACAACATGATTCACTTTACCCCATTGCAGACTCTTGGCCAGTCTAGGTCATGCTACTCTCTTGCTGATCAGTTAGAATTAAATCCTGACTTTTCCAGACCTAATAAAAAGTGTACCTGGGATGATGTTGGACAGCTAGTGGAAAAATTGAAAAAGGAATGGAATATTCTTTGTATCACCGATGTTGTCTACAATCATACCGGTATGAGCTTTGCTAATTGCTATTAATTTTAATGAAAATATTGTATGCTAATTATCTCATTCTTTGCAGTTTTATATAGCATAGGTTTTGAAAACACAAATGATGCTTAGGTGTCCTTTCATTTTAAAATCACTTTATGTAATACCTTTTTTTTTTCTTTCAAAGAAAACATTGTTAGTTGAAGATATAATCACTATATAAGTATTTCATGTACCGATTATAAAAACAGGAAAGTGATCATAGAAGGGACGTAGTGATCACATATTTCAACTTACAGTATTAATACTTTTCACACCAACTAATGAATCCTATGTAACAGCAGCTCAGTACTGTAGCATATGTTTGAAAAAACAATAACTGTTATTTAAAGAGAATTATTGAAAAACTCATAGAAGTTAAATGTGAAAATTATATCTTTTATGTGTTAAAAGAGCTTATTAAAGTTAACCCGTTTGGGATTCCAAGATGCCTTACCAATATAGAATTCTATAAAATAAGTCAGAACTTCCCAGTTGGTGATTCCCTCACCTGTCAGAGCAGCCGGGCCTGCAGGAACCTCTGGCTGTGATCAGCTTTCAGTTTAACCCAGTGTACCTTGCAAATATCATCTTCTACATGTACTATAATGTAGAAAAGTGTGGAAACACTGATTTACAAATGTAGACAACAGGAATTCTGAGTGGTACAAACATTTAACAGAAAATCCCTGGTGTACCATAAAGTCATTTTCCAAGTAACCACAGGAACTGCGAAGATATTTAAAAGCTCAAAGATTTGGTTCATCAATATAGATAATAATCAAAGTTTGGCAAAACAAAAATGATTACATTCTAAAATTTGATGTTTCTGCATGCACCTAAGCATCAAAGTCCACAATGAAAACTTCTTAATATCCAAGAACTCAGTATTCTTCACTTGAAAAGGTGACATTATTGAAATTACTTTGACATCTATGATATTATTCACATCAAACCACATAGTGGCATTGTATGAGTTAGCATATGGCTTAGACATCTATAACAAAGAGACAGAAAAATATAGTAATTTAAGATTGAAGTTATATTTATTTCTTATAAAAGATTAGGTAGGCATTCCAAGGCTGGTATGGTAGCTCAGTGGTGATAGGGAACTTGGTTCTTTCTCGCACGTTGCTCTGTTGTCTCCAGCACTTTACTTCCAACTCTTAATCAAATAGGCCATTTCAGTTCCCAATATCACCTTCTATCCAGTGGAAATGAGGAAAGAGAAGTCATGCCTTTTAAGGACATGATCTGGTATGTGTATCACTTCTATTTACATTGCATCAGGTCAGATTTTGTCTCATCACATCTAACTATAAAGGAGGCTTAAAATGTAGTCTTTTGTTTGTCAGCTGTGTTTACAGCTGAACTTTGAGAGTTCTGTTACTAAAGGAACAAAGGGAGAATAAAATTTGGAGTCAGTAGCAATCTCTGTCAGAAACTGTTTCTGAAGTATTTGAGAGATTCTGTGCAACATAAAAGAAGTGAATTTTGCTTCAGCCTTACTTATAAAGTGTTGCATATCATCTTTTCTGAGAAACAGGTTTTCATTGCATAGTTACTGTTCAGGAGGAGTGGTACTCGTTTCTGAAGTATTTGAGAGATACTGGAGCCTGGGCCAGTATGTGAGATGTGGGTATGAAGAAGGCCATGTTCAAAGGAAGAGAAGTAGTAAGATGTAGCAAACCTCCCTCACAGGTTTAGGGGAGATGAGAGGGAGAAGACAAGGGGCAAAAGGGAAGGGAAAGTAAAAAAAAATAACTAAGATAACAAAACCTTTTGTAAATCAAGGAACGACTAATCAGTAATGGCAAATGTTGTAGAGGTTGAAATGGATGAAGATGAGAAAGTAACATGGTTACTTTCTTGATTAGGAGGCTTGGAGTAACTGCAGCAGAGTGCTTGACATAGCAGGTTGCAGTGGAAAAGGAATGAGGGTATGGGAAGAAAGTAGAAGCAGCAGATACAGGTTGGATTTTCAAGATTTTGTTCTTGATATTTGTTTGTATTCTTAGCTTTGAGGAAATTCAAGTGTATTTAAAGATCCAAAGGAAAAAAAAAAGCAAGAAGAAATGATTATGGAGGAAAAAAGGTGTAAATGACATTTTGAGTTCTTAAGATAAGAGATAGAACCTAGAGCTTAGATGGAACCACAGAAGGGCCCTTTCGCTCAGGAGACTGAAAGCAGGGGAAAGTAAATTGAGAGGGGACTATTCTCCTGCCCTAGAATCTAACAGCCTGACACTGAACAGCCTAAACCAGAGTTGAAGATACAGGCAACTTTTTGCTTTAACAAAAGGCCAGAGGACTTGAAGTCGGGGCACAGCCCAGTCTGCCTTATGGAAGGAGATGTTTTTCAGGCTTAGAAGGAGCATTCCAAAATATACTTGACTCAGGGACCATCGAAGCAGACTGAGGACACACCCTTCTTAACTCTCGCCACAATAGTAAACATGTTATTACGGTGCTATTAATAAATCAGCGTTATATCCTATCTACCATCAATTAAAAATTCCTACGACAGAAAAGAAAAATGTATGTTAAAATGGATGACAGAATACCACAATTAAAACTCTTTCACATGACAGTATCATAAAATATTGATGGGTAATATATAAGAAAATGAGTGGTAGATGTTGACATTTTATTTCACCTTTAAACTAAAGATAGATACTAACTTCAATTTATTACAAGATCATCCTTTATGTTTTTTTTAAGCTGCTAATAGTAAATGGATCCAGAAACATCCAGAAAGTGCATATAACCTTGTGAATTCTCCACACTTGAAACCTGCCTGGGTCTTAGACAGAGCACTTTGGCATTTATCCTGTGACGTTGCAGAAGGGAAATATAAAGAAAAAGGAGTGCCTGCTTTGATTGAAAATGACCATCAGATGAATGTCAGTATGTACAGAGGAGTACCACACTAAACAATAACAAAATTGCTAAATTATGAATTAAATATATGGTTAAAAATTATTTAGAATCTTTCTTTTAATATGCTAAATAGAATTCAGTAAAAAGATTTTAAATATACATATATGTTATATTAACTATTGAAATTTTTCAGTGCATTCGAAAAATAGTTTGGGAGGATATTTTTCCAAAGATTCAACTCTGGGAATTTTTCCAAGTAGACGTTTCCAAAGCAGTTGAGCAATTTAGAGGACTTCTTACACAAGGTAAAAGATATACACTAGAATATTCTTATCCATTTTAAGAAATTTAATATTACTCTTAAAGAGATAACTTCTTTTCTCTTGGTTAACACATTATTAAATTTTTTATTACTTGATATTTGTGTTGTTTTTGATACTATAAAACTCTGATTCTGGAATCTGATAGTCAGCAGAAACATCTGCAGGGTCCGCCATAATAATACATAATGTAGTTATTTCCCTTGGGGACTCTTTCTTCCTATTGGTTCCTTAGCACAATGCTCAGAATACAGTAGAGCTCAATATATATTTGTTAAATGTATGTGTGAGAGGTAAGTAGAGCAAATTGTTTCAACTGCAGAAAACTCAAAACAGGCTTTGAAACTGAGAGATGTAATAGTCTTCTGTTGGCTAATGTAAGAATCTTAACTGAGGTCGAGGAGCCTCCAGTTGATGGTGCCACCATTAAGACCACCTAAAACTGGTGAGACTGACCCAGAGATTAGGCAGTAACAAAAGATAAACAGATCACCAGTTAAGGACATAACTAACCTTAAGAAGTTGATCGTTGTGTTCCTCACAAAGCAAGATAGGAAAAACCATGCTAAAAGAGGAATTAGGGTTTTTAGCAGGCAAATTAAAAGGGAAAGATTGTGAAGAATGTATCTGCAGTTAGTGTATAACAATCTAATAGCAAGGATCTTTGCTGGCTCTTAAAATACTTATCTTCCTCATCCAGAGTAGGACCCAGAAATACAGCCTTTAAAGTCAATGCATATGACTTGAGGTCCAGGAAGTTCAGGGTCAGATTCACACTTCAGCTTACATGAATGTTTGATAACTTTCCTTTATGTTTCATTTTACTAAAGGGCTTCTATCTTCCCTTCCCTCTAATATTTATAAGCTATATTCTTTATGTGCAATAATGTATGCTCACAGTAAAGAAAAAGAGGCCTATGCAAAAACATAATAAATAAATAGACCGTGTGACTTCCTCTCTCCCAAAACCCATTCTTAGAGGAAACTGCAAATTAATAGTTTCTTGTTTCCCTTCAGACTCTTTTTGAAAGAAGTTCAAATTTCGTATACATTTTTACATAATTCTGTATATATAAATTACATATATAAGTTTTATGTTTATATCTATCTTATACACAAATAAGATTACAGCATATAGGTTGTTTAACAACTTGTTCTTTAGTTGTAAATATGATTTTATTACAGCTGCAAATTAATAGTTTCTTGTTTCTCTTCAGCCTCTTTTTGAAAGAAGTTCAAATTTCGTATATATTTTTACATAATTCTGTATATATAAATTATATATATAAGTTTTATGTTTATATCTATCTTATACACAAATAAGATTACAGCATATAGGTTGTTTAACAACTTGTTCTTTAGTTGTAAATATGATTTTATTACAGCTGTTTCTTTTAATCTCTAGATAGCAATACAGTTTTAAAGTACTTGAATTTTTTTAGCCTTTTTGATGGATTATTTCCAGTTTTTTCATGGTTTGTTCATTCAGTCAATACATGTTTGTTGAACTACCCACTATGTGCTAAATACTCTTCTAGACATGGGTATTCAGTGGTGAACATATCAAGCCCCTGCCCTAGTGGAAGTTATATTCTTATAAGCAGTACTACAGAAAGTATATTCTTGTCCATGTTATTTTTACTTGCTTATGTGAGTCAGTCTACAGAATAAATTGTTGTATATAGGATTACTAGGTCAAAAGGTATACAGATTTAATGACAGATTTACATATTGTCAAATTGCTTTTTAACATAAATCTATCAGTTTACATTATCACTAACTATATCCTCACCAATATTAGATACCATTAATCTTTCTAATCTTTGTCAATTAGGCAAAATATTCCTCATTTTAATTTACATTTCGTCACATATTAGTGAAATATCTATTCACATGTTAGCTGTTGATAGTTCTTTTATTAATGGCCTATTAATGTTATTTCTCTATTTTTCTATTGGGTTGTGTTTTTTTGATAATTGACTTATTATTATTGGTGATTCCTTATTATACTGGCCTCAAATATATCTTCCTAGTATGCTATGGATCTTTTAACTCTTGTTCATGGTGGTATTTTTTTTTCAATGTCGTCAAATTTTTCAGTTTTTTATGGCTTTTGATTTTTCATCATGCTTAGAAAAGACCTTTCATCAACACTTTTTTAAAATAATTTTTATTTTTCAATTATAGTCAGCATACAATATTATATTAGTTTCATGTGTATAACATAGTGATTAGACATCTGTATATCTCACAAAGTGATCATCCCAATAAATCTAGTACCCAACTGACACCGTACATAGTTATTATAATATTATTGACTGTCTTCCTTATGCTATCTATCCCTTATACCTCCGTAACTATTTTGTAACTACCTGTTTGTACTTCTTAATTCCTTCTGCCTGTTTCACTTATCTCCCAAACTTCCTCCCACCTGTAACCCTCAAAATGTTCTCTATATGACTTTGTTTCTGGTTTTTGTTGTTGTTGTCATTTATTTTGTTCTTTAGATTCCACATGTATGTGAAATCATATGGCATTTGTCTTCCTCTGTCTTACTTCACTCAGCACAATACCCTCTAGGTCCATTATGAAATATCTTTTTCCACTCTTTTGCTTTTAGTCTCTGTGTGTCTTTTAATATGAAGTGAGTTTCATGTAGGCAGAATATGTAAGGGTCTTGTTTTCTTATCCATTTAGCCACCCTATCTTTTGATTAGCACATTTAATTTTTTCATTTAAATTATTTGTTGATAGATATGTAGTTATTGCCATTCTTTATGTTTTTGATATATATTTTTTTTCTCCCTCTTAAAGAAGTCCCTCCAACATTTCCTGCAATACTGGCTTGGTGGTAATGAACTCCTTTAGCTTTTTTGAAGCTCTTTATCTGTCCTTTGACTCTAAATGATAACTTTGATGGGTAGAATAATCTTGGTTGTAGGTCCTGGTTTTTCATCAGTTTCAAAATTTTGTGCCAAGCTCTCTGGCCTGCAAAGTTTCTGTTGAAAAATCAGCTGACAGTCTTATAGGTGCTCCCTTGTAGGTAACTAATTGCTTTTCTCTTGCTGCTTTTAAGATTCTCTCTTTGTGTTTATCCTTCGGCATTTTAATAATGATGTGTCTCAGTGCGGGCTTGTTTGGATTCATCTTGTTTGGATTCATCTTGTTTGGGACTTTGCGCTTCTTGGGCTTGTATGTCTGTTTCCTTCACCAGGTTATAGAAGTTTTGGTCATTATTTCTTGGCATAGGTTTTCAATTCTTTTCTCTGTCTTCTCTTTCTTGCACCCCTGTGATGCAAATGTTGTTGCACTCGATGTTGTCCCATAGACCCCTTAAGCTGTCCTCATTTTTTGGATTATTTTTTCTTGTTGCTGTTCTAATTGGGTGTCCTATGCTACCCCTATGCATCCTCTAAATTATTGATTGAATCCTCTGCTTCATCCAATCTGTTGTACTCTTCATCTTATATATTGTATTTTTTGTTTCTGACTGGTTCCCTTTTGTGTTTTCCATCTCCATTTTTATGTTTTCTACCTCTCCGTTAAAGTTCTTACTGAGTTCATCTACTCTTCCCCCTAAGTTCATTGAGCATCCTTATAACCAGTGTTTTGAACTCTGCATCTTTTAGATTGCTTGTCTCCACTTTGTTTAGTTCTTTTTCTGGAGCTTTGTTCTGTTCTTTCATGTGGGACATTTTTCTTCATGTTCCCATTTTGGCTGCCTCCCTGTGTTTGTTTTTATGTATTAGGTGGGGCTGCTATGTCTCCTGCTCTTAGTAGAGTGGCATTATGTAGTAGGTGTCCTGTGGGTCCTAGTGGCACAGTCTTCCCTGGTCACTTGAGCGAAGTGCTCAGGGTGTGTCTCTCGTATGAGTTGTATGTGCCCTCCTGATGTAGTTGAAACTTGGTTGCTGTTTGCACTTCGATGGGAAGGAATGACCCTTGGGTTGGTTGGTTGTGAGCATTGGCTGGTAAGGAGTTGACCCTGTGGAGCTGGATTTACTTTGGCAGGACTCTGATGCCTGCCCAATCTGCCCTTCTGGTGTGTCCTCCTCAGATGCAGCCCTTGGTGGTGCTCTAGCTCCGTTGCCAGTAGAAGCAGGCCACTGGGTACCAGCTTAAGGGCCTCCTAGGAGGTACCCAGCTGCAGGCCAAGTTTAGCTACAGAGTCACCAAACAATCTGCAGATGGCCGCCACCCATGCCGGGCTTATAGGTGCCTTGAGAGGCCAAGTCAGAAGCTAAGACCAGCTGCCACTAGAGCCAGGGTTGGTACTGCTTAGCAAGAGGTATGGGGCACGCTGAGGCCAAATGCTGCTTCTTTGGGTTTTATAAGCTTTTGAGAGATTTTAAGAAAGTCTGCATCATGAGCCGAGCCAGGCCATTTGTATCAAATAAACCCCTGGAGGCAGCTTGGGAACGCCCCACAAGTTGAGAGAGGCAGAGTCTCAGGGGATCTCTTGGGCAAAGCGACCTGTGTTATCCAGGTTGTTTGAGACTCAGGTATGGCAGCTTCCTGCATCCGCAGGCTGGGAGAGGGCAGGACTCAACTAAAGAACAGTGGATACAACCAGCACTTCTGTCCAGGAGAAAGCTGCCCCTCCAGCCCTCACCCTGAAGCCCAACAACTCAGTGTCTCCCTGTATGTCCCTGGTGTTCCTCGAGCAGCTATCCTAGTGCTGGAGCTCAGAGCAAGTGAGCCCTTCAGCAAGTTATTCCAGGCACCTGCCCTTTAAAAGGAACACCTGCAGCACCATGGCCTTCCGTCTCACTCAGCCACAAGCTCCGCTGGTTTTTCACAGCAGAGGTTGTGGGAACTTCTCTTCCCAGCACTGGAACCCTGGACTGGGGAGCCCGATGTGGGAGAGAGGGCTCTGCAACCAAGATAACCCTCCCGATTCTTGACTGCCACAGGCCATTGAGGGACTGGCTGTTTCACATCTCTGCCCCTCCTACCAGCCTCTTCTTATGTCCCTAGTTGTAGGACTTCTGTTCAGCGAGACATCAGGCGACTCCCAGTTATAGTTGCTCTTAGTTTCTTTTTAATTGTGGTTGGTTGCTAGAGGAGACGTACACAGCATCTAGCTTCTATGCATCTTGGCCAGTCTCCTCTATGTTTTCTAATATTTTTATATTTTATATTTAAATATTTAATTTACCTAGGATTTCTTTTTGTATGTAATATAAAGAAAGTACTTATTTCTATTAAAAAATGATGTTGATTTGATAATCCATTTTTTATACTGATGTGGAGTACCATAATACTTCATAATGTATAGTCATATACTAAATATACATGGGTCTGTTATCTGTGCTATTCCAGTGATCTGTCTGTCTTTATTCTACCAATACTGGACACTTTTATAATTTACACTGATTATGTAAATCATTTTTAGCAATTTTCGTATATTTACTCTTCCAGATGAACCTCAGAAACTAGATTTTAAGAATCTGTATTTTATCTTGTTTATGCTTTTATAAGCCATTTTGAAATCTTTTTATAATAAGCCAGATATTAGTTAATATAAAATCAAGCCCAGTGGAAGTACTGAAGTTGAACTGAACGGGAATCCCTGTGTTCTCTTCTTCTCTCTCCCTCCCTCCCTTTCTCTCTTTCTCTCTCCCGCTCTCTCCCTCCTTCCTCCCTTCCTCCCTGTGTGTGTGTGTGTGTGAGAGTTGGTGAGAGGTAGGAAGGATGCTTGTGAAATAAACGTTTGTTTTTTTAATGAAAAAATTGTAAACTAAAAATTTGGAATCAGTAACAATTATAATCTCCTTGTGGATATTTGCATTTAAGATACCGTCTTTTCTTTATTTCAGGAAATAGGAAAATAACCAAGCCTGATCCAAAAGAACACCTTAAGATAATTCAGGATCCTGAATACAGGAGGCTTGGCTGTACTGTAGATATGAACATTGCACTAGCGACTTTCATACCAAATGAGTATGTTATGTTTTTTTCTGTGAAATAAAAAATAATATTAATTATAAACCTTTATGGATAGTATTATTTTCATACTATTTATTAAAAGTTTGACTAGAATATGAAATAAAGTAATTCACCATAATTCTACTGTCAAGAGCTTGACATTTTCCCCTTTTTTCTGTGTACTGATCCATGATGTTATATGCATACGTGAAAATTTTTACCATTGAAAAATGTCTTCAGCTATAATTAAGATCCTGATGAATATATTTAAAGAATTTATAACCCTTGTTAGAAAATTTTTAAATGTGGAATTTGTAAAACCATTATATTATAAGTTCGTATTGCTCTGTCTGCTCCAGCAGTGGGCCAGCCGCAATTGATGAATGCTGTAATTGGTTCCAAAAGAGAATTGAGGAATTAAATTCAGAGAAACATCAACTCATAAACTGTCATCAGGAACAGGTTTTACCAACTTTTCAAATGCTGTTTTTCTTTGAGTCTTGCTACCATTTGTTATTTTTGTTATTATTGATGTGACATTGTTTTCTAGGCAGTTAATTGCCTTTTGGGAAATGTGTTTTATGAACGACTGGCTGGCCACGGACCTAAACTAGGACCTGTCACTAGAAGACATCCTTTAGTTACCAGGTATTCCATGTTTATTTTCTTCTCATTAAAGGTTAAAAATTGAAAATTGTATTTAACTTTTCAAATTAACCTAAATGTTTCCTTTAATGTGTGATTTCCGGTACATTTCTTAAATTGAAATAGTTTTAATTTGGTAACTAGGATTAATATTAATTAATTTAATTTTGTTAGGCAAATCTTTAGTTAGAGAACCAATTTATAATTATTTACATTAGTGTTTCTGCACAAACAAGATTAGTATACTTACTAATAATTTCAGTATTAATCAAATTGAGCAAGTATTTAGCTCCTTTTAAGTAATGTGCAGCATGGATTAGACAGCTAAAGTGTAGTAAAAGTAACATCAATACCTCAATGATTTTTTTTAGAAATTTTATGAGAGTTTTAGTTATTTAAAATGTTGACCGGATATGCTATAATGCTAATTCTCCATTCCTCAAATCCTACTAGATTTACTCAGAAAGTCTACTGAAGATTTTTGACCTATGAAAATCTTCACAAATATAGTGGATAATTTGGTGACAGGCAGAGGGGAGGAAGGTTGGGGGTCTAGGAGAATGGAGTGAAGGGTTAAAAAAGTACACATTAGTAGTTGATAGTTGGTCATGGGGATGGGGATCACGGCAAAGGAAATGCAGTTAGCATTAATATGATGGCTAGGTGGAGGGCCAGGGGAGTGAGGGAGCAATTGGGGGGATTGTTTTCTGAACTATAAGGCTGTCTAACCAAGGTACTGTATACTTGAAACTAATTTAAATAAATAATTTTTTTTAAAATAAAGAAAAAAATCTTCATAGGTCAAACTGTTGGTGTCAAACTAATCTTTTTTATTCTGTTGATTAGGGAGGAATTTTTAATTTTAATGGTGCTGATTCAGATTCTTTCCAAAGAGCTTCTCTGTATGGATTTAATATTTAATTTAATCTTCATAGGTATTTTACTTTCCCATTTGAGGAAATGACCCTCTCCACAGAAGAATCTATGATTCATCTCCCAAATAAAGCTTGTTTTCTGATGGCACATAATGGATGGGTAATGGGAGATGATCCCCTTCGAAACTTTGCTGAACCAGGTATGTCATTTTGATTAGCTTCTCTATGG